CTTTACTGGCCTCATGTGCCAGGGTTTCCAAGATGCTCTGGGTAGGAAGTCCTTTGCTGGAGAAAACCACCTATTCTATGGCAACACTTGAGCTAAAATTGTAGCAATACCAAAAGAAAAACCAGTTTCACAAATATATAAGGGAGAGCTGCAGACAGATTAGAGCAATCTGTGGTTTTGAAATCTGTCGAAATAAAGCAAACCACATTAATATGTCAGTGTGCAAAGATAATGAATGCAAACCACAGCGGAAATTTGTGCCCTACATGTTCGTAATTCCGTACATTACACAATCACCTCCATCACTACCACAGGGTGTCCTTGCGCCACTCGTACACCTTGTGCTGAGCCCTTGCAGGGCCGGGTGCAAGTGAGCCGCAGGGCAGCGAGGATGGGGAGAGTGGCTCTATTGCCCTGAGCCTCGTGGTCCTCACTGAGTGGCAACACCCATGGGCTTTGTCCAAGCCCCCTTCTGCCTTGCCACCTGTGTTTGTGCCTGTTGGAGAGGACGAGCCTGTTTTCCTCACCCGTGAGGCTTTTCAGAAGGAAAATAAGTTTAGCGGGAGGGCCAGGGCTGGCTGTCAGCCCGCTGTGCTTCAGTGGTGGCTGGAGCTCTTCAGCATGGCGAGATCAGCTAAAGTACAGCTGGTGGTGAGGGATTTGGGGTATGCAAAGCTTGAGATCGATCTTCTTTACTGCGTGGGTTCTGGTTTTAAGATGATCAAGATACGTAAAGGCATGCTCCTCGCAAGGGCCGAATGTGCACTGCGGCAGGGTTGCAGTCCCACTGTTGATCCATCTATTCTGCAGCAGCGTGCGAGGCTCCGAGCTGTGAGAAAGACCCAGTCATGCCAGCCCGTGCACACGTGCAGGGAGGGTTGGTTTGCCAAAGTCCTGGAGAGCCGAGGTCTGCACGCTAGGTTCTCCGTGGGTGCAGGGATACTCCCAGGCGAATCAACTGGGAACCACTCCTAAATGCAGTTGGGATCAGGTCCCGTTCCTGCT